ATTGCATCCATATACTGTATCTCCTCTTTGGCCTTCCTCTTTGTCTTTTTCCTGGCAGCTTCATTTGTAACATCCTTCTACCAATATACCCACTGTCCCTCCTCTGGACATGTCCAAACCAACTCAGTCTGGCCTCTCTAACTTTATCTCCCAGTTGTTTAACCTGTGTCGTACCTCTGATGATTTCATTCCTAATCTTATCCATCCTTGTCACTCCTAAGGAGAACCTCAACATCTGCATTTCCACCACTTCCAGTTCTTTCTCCTGTCTTTTTGTCAATGCCACTGTCTCCACTGTCTCCATACCATATAACATACAGTAACTGGTCTCACAACAGTTTTGTAAAATTTCCTTTGACCTTTGCTGACACCCTTTTGTTGCAAATCAGTCCTGAAACAACAATAGAGTCCATCAAGCTAAAAAAGGAGGCCTCTAGGACATGGTTGTCTCAGAGGATGCCTAAAGCAGCTGACATGGACAAGATGGCCAGAAGGACTGAGGCTTCTGCGGTGGCAGAAGCAAAAGCTGGGGAATTAGGAGAGGCCATTGAGAAGTATTCAATTAGCTTCAGGGAGGTTCTGGCAAACCTTTTGACAAGTCAGAAAAAGAAAGCAGATCTATCCCAGGCTTTGATTAATTTGCTGTGACCCAGCCTGTGGATTTTATCAGAAGATTAAAGGAATAGTTTGAGACTCTCCTTGATCAGATCACCTCAGAAGATGCAGAGTCTAAGGATTAGAAGGGATGCGAGTTCGTTAACTTACAGATGTTACATGCCGATGTACTTAAACAACTCCTCTACAGCAGGGTAAGCATAAACCATATCTATATTCTGATGGTGCTGAATGTATCTGGCCACTTGATCAGCATACAGACATTTGCGTAGTGACACTGATGTTGTTTGCTTGTGAAAACAGTAATAAACTAAACAAACGGTGCTGTGCAAAATTTAGAAGTTTTTATTGTTATTTAGGTTGTAGAATGAATCAGAGTTTGGTTTAAGAGTATGCACAAATTGTAAATAAGGTCATACATTGTTATCATATGATTTCACTTTTGGTAGAAGTTGATTGTATATAAGCAGTCAAAGATTTGATGCATGCTTTGCTGCTATTTTACAGCTAAAACAGGAAAAAAAAACGTATTTTGATGAAATAGCATTTTGATCCATATTTATGTCTTTTCTCACCTGCATGATTTATTCCTCCATTTTTCTGGTAATCTAATATATCTCGAATCTACAGTGTACGAGCAAATTATGTACAAGTATTACCTTCTCCCTAAAAAGTCTCTGCAAGTTAATATGTTTTTATATTCATCCCATCTGCTTTACAACAACCATTTAATGGCATTATCAAAAACATTAAAGATCACAAAAATCATGGGGATGTTGTGTGACATCAGCTCCACCCCTCCAGGCTGCCTCCCAGATGTTTGAGTGTGTGCATGCATCTGTGTTTGAATGTGTATGCAGTGAATGGTTTATTGGGAGCAACTCATTTGAGACAAATGTTAACATGAAACAAGAAAAAAAGGATGCAAACATACCTCAATCCAAAAGCATGCAGGTTTTGTTTTAGGGTGTTCTTGCAGTCTTATTGTTCATTATATCTACCCTATCCATTTTGCCCTCAATAATTTTTGCTTCCCTTTCGTACCTCTTTTCAATAAAATACTAATTCAACAATTTTTCTATAAGATACGCAAACATTGCAGCATCATTGGGACCCAACTCAAAAGTAACTGGTTTGAGTTTATTTTATGATGTCTTTCTCAGGCACATAAGGGGGAACAGAGGTATAAATTATGAAGTGCCGAGGGAGGGAAACAAGGAAAGCTGGAAAACTTTGGAAGAAGAGGGATAATTCAGATGTTAGGTGAATGACAACAGTAGAGAAGGAGGGAAAAACCGATGAATGAAGAGAACTTGAGAGCACTAGAGACTAAAGAAAGTAGATGAAAGTGTCAGCAGAGGACTAAAGGCTATATTTACAGTATAAATGGATTAACAAGTAAACTGTTCTGAGTCCTGAAAGGAGTGAAATACTGAACTCAAAAGCAAAAACAATTTGATTTGAAACATCAAAAGTTTTAACTTTCATTGCTGCTTGGCGTCAACTGGAATCTATTTTTATTTAAACAAAATAGTCAAATTATCCTGTGAATGCAGACTCAGAATTTTAACACTAAAACTATGTTATAAAACACTGAGCAAATAGAATCCTCTCCAGCTGAATGGTTTAGCATCAAATATGCTCTCATACTTTATCTGTCATACCTCGAAAGATGATACAAAAAGTCATGAGGACAAGGGTGATGCTGACTGGCTGTCTATAGTGTCAGCTGAGAAAGGCCTTATAGTAGCAAGATGATGACTCCATCATTTTATTATCACATAAATAACAAGCTCACACATGTTTATCCCTTTTTTATATTTCTCTCCTTAAACTTTGCTTTGCTTTCACTTTTTCCTATGCATCAAAATGAAGCACCGTAACCAAAATATTCTGCTGTTTACATCCAAACACTACTGTGCATTTAACAAGAACATTTCTGAAGAAATGTTAAAGGGTACGAATGCAGTTAATCAGTTGATGTCCATCATACTGTCCAAACTTTTTTCCAGTGCAGATTTGCAAAGAATTTCGACCATTGTTGAAAATAATTAAATTCAGTTCAATTCAAAAATATTTTAATAATCCCAAAGGGAAATTAAATGTTGTTGTAATTTATCTTTGTTTCATTAGGAGATGTTATAGATATTGATGGTTGTAGGCAGGAAGATCTCTTGTAAATGTCCATCCCACAGACGACCCAAAGAAACTGGCCAGAGATGCTGTCCAATCTGTCCACCCAGACTCGGATGGCCTCTCAACTCCTCTGGGCTGCAGGATCGCCCAAATACTGGCTATAGCTCCTCCCAGAGCGATGACCACTCCTTCCAGTAGCCTGTCGAGCTCCTTGTCGCTGCAGACAGCCAGCTGCATGTTCTGGGGGATGATCCCGGTCTTTCTGCTGTCAAGAGCTGCGTTTCTTGCCAGTTCCAGGATCTCAGCAGTCAGGTACTCAATCATCACCATCAGGTAGATGGGAATGCATCCACGGAGGCTCCTTTTCAACTCATTTGAGATTTGGGGCTGTGGTTGAGATATTATTTGAGCTTTTGAGATGTTAATCAGTTGCTCCCGATTGTTTAAAAAAAAAAAAAAACTTGTCATGGTTACGCATCATAACAAATGTCCAAAAGTAAAACAGTTTCAGTAAAAATCCTTCCAGCTGCATAGCATCCGATACCAGAGGAAACAATCATTAAAAAAAGTGATTTACATCCAGAAAAAGAGGAATTAAAGTTTCCAAAAGTGATGTTTCAGAATAAAGGTAACAGAGCTACTCCAACACGCAACCACCCCGCGCTTCAATGGTTATGTGTTGCCATCCTCAAATATTTTGTTAACAGGTATATTTTAACAAAGATAAAAGAAACAACAGGAAAGATTAAAGGACTCCTCCTGATCTGAACCATCAGATTAATGTGCAGCTCATCACATCAGGGAGCCCAAACACTCAAAACACTCTACACCAGTTGGTTTAAACAAGTGAGTGTGCATTCAAGTAGAAACCGCTGCTCATTTATTCTAGACACATCCTCCTTACACACAAACATTCACATCCTCACACTTTTCTCTGTATCTCTTAGAATTCAGCTTGAAGTGACTTTCCAGGGTTATGGGGGAATCAAGGGGGATTATGGGTGGTGACACCAGCAACTAATCTCAAAACACTGGTCATTATCATGTTTGCATGTTGGATTTTTAATGTATCAAAATGTAGCTTTGCATTAGCGTTAAAAGAAACTCCAGTTGCTATATTACACACATAAAAGACCATATTAATAAGATGACTGATTGGTTGGTTTACCTATATATCCTTGTTCACCTGATTCTGTTTTCTGCAGAATAATTCAGTTTATATTTACAAATGCATACAAATGTATGCCACAGCAAACTCAAAGCTATTTTTTTTAATCTATAACAACTAAGGCTGATAGTTTTGACATAACTGAAAAACTGGCTATAGTCTCATCTCCTTTAATGTTTTACTCTAATTTTTTGTTTTAATATTCCTGTACTGTTGTGTCCTTCTATCATCTGTTTAGTCTTAAACATGAAACTTATGGGATCTGTAGTCCACAAAGAGATCCCAGATGGTTATACTGAGCAAAATGTTTACATCTGTGAGAGTGTGCATGCGTTATTATTCATTAAGAAATAAGGATTTACAGCACAAAGCTATACGTAGTGCAAGACCACAGCACAATCATGTGTGACCACAGCAAGAGCGAGAATGGGTCTGATGGAAAAAACAGCCCAAACCACTGAAACCAGCCACAGTTCCTTTAATTTAATAGCTGTTTCATCCATTAAGACTTTAATTAGTGGTTTCATCATTTCTACCTGGAAACCACAAAAATGTAGCACATTCTCTGATGATATATTGTGCTTTTACAACTCCAAGGGAAAATGTGCAACGACCTGCTGAATAATCAGCAGAGCTCTGACCAGAAAGCAACAGAAAACAGATGTGGTTTTTGAAGGCAACGTGAAGAAAGTGTACAAGTGACGTAAAATATGGCTCAGAGTTTGGAGACGTGTGTTTGCTCTGGGTTGGTTGTAAACCTTTAAAAGGCACCGGATGACTGCTGCTGAACTAAATGGAGACACTGGTTAAAGTCTGGGCTTGTAGTCAACTATGGCTGCAAATTTTCCTTCGTGTACATCTCCATATCTTCAATGAGTATACTCATTGAAGCATCTGTGTCACTATATGGTTTTCTAGTAAAAAAACAAAACTTTGCACCCCCCCCCCCCCCATCACAAATAAATAATCAAAGAGAGAAAGACCAAAACTGCACCATCAGGTAAGCTTATCACTTGAAAGGTCAGAACAAGTTATATAAACACAACCGAATGTCCAATTCCTTCTTTTTGTTTGTGCTCACCTTATGATTCTTGCCATGCCTGTAAACCATCCAGTCCTCTCCATTAGTGCTGACTTCCAACTTGAAGGTGGTGACGTAATAAACCTTCTGGGTTTCCTTTGAAATGGCGCCCTGAGTGGCAATCCCCGTCAAAACCTTCAGCGTATGGAGGTCCACCTGTTTGTAGGGGAAGAGGCCTTTAGGTTTTAATTATTAAAAGTAACAATGTTACTCAATGAAAAGAACAAAAATACTATACTTTGACAACAGCTATAACCTGAGATTATAAAAAAAAAAATCTTTAGATAATGAAAAAATCTGAGGTAACTGTTAGTCACGTGTTTCAGAGGAACATTTACAGTATGTTTTATCTATTTCTAGTCCCATTTTCAATCATACGTTTAAAATATATCAAGACTTTCGAAGTTCGAGTTCTTAGCTTCCCTCTTTGATTTCCACCACTCTCACTTCTCCTCCCCTCATTATATGCTTTTTTTTATTTTCATTGTTTGTATTTCTTCCTGAGCAAATCGATAAAAATAACCTGGGGCTCACTTTAATTTCCTCCCATTCAAACCATAATCACCTCCCATCCTGATTGTGGATGTGATGCTATATGTTCAGCAAAAACGATGCATGATGACCAGTTAAGATTCATTTTTTAAAGGTCCCCTGAACAGATATGTTTATAAAATGGGTACTGCCACAAAGGTGCTTGAGAGGTTGTGAACAAGCGTGTTTCTTTGTAAAAAAAATAAAATGCAGTATTATTCCTCCAAAAAGAGCAGCTTTAGTTTCGTGGTGTTGACTGATTTCTTCACATGAACAGCACGATTTTTTCTACAACATATATATAATATTTTTTAATAAATGCCTTCTCTATATAAATATACATCAAGTCCAAATCATAATGCCACTGCCATGTTTTACAGATACAACATGGTTCTTTTCTTTATAAAACAAATATTTTAACAAAGTGCAAAGCGGGATTGGAAAGCGCTGATTATCCCTTGCATTCTGGCCATCTTCAGAATGATTTTTTAGTATCATCTTTACAATAAAACTGTAAAGACTGATATTCGCTAATGTGAGAGAGTTGTCCTGGGATTATTTGAAACTATGTAAACTAACTTTTGCTCTTGGAGAATAAAAATAAAACCACAGTACCTTCTTTTCTGAGGTCCTCAGAAAACTGCAATAGTTCCACGGTAATATAAATGCATTTTTAAACTTTATATATACAAAGTATATATATATATATATATATATATATATATATATATATATATATAT